TATACGATTATTTTTTTTTTGTTACTAAGGGGGTACCCCAGGGGGTGGTCCCATATAAATTTGGTTAAGATATGGTGATGGCATCTGCACGTTTTTGAAGTCGGTTTTTTTTAATTTGTAATACTTGTTAATTATTAAATTATTGTTTGATTGGGTTATTTGTAAAATCGAGAGAAAGGCTTGGTATAGGGTTCCCAGATTTACGAAAGGGAAAAGTGGGATAACAGTGACGACAGGGATCAGATTAAAAAAACAGATATTTTTATAAAATAAGCTCCTTTCTTTGTGGAGATCTAAAAAAAGGTCCTCTGCTTATATTTTTATAAACCATCAGGTACTTTTTCTGAGGAGCTTCTCAAAAAAAAGGTATAAAATTGTCAAAAATATAACTTTGGTTTTAGAAAGCGTAGCATTTAGGTGAAATGCGGGGCATTTTCGTACTTAAGCGTAACGCTTGCCAGCAAGTTAAAAAGCGGGACAATTACGCCTAAAGCGTGACGTCTGGCAACCCTAACTGAGTACCTAGATATGGACGAATTTAAGGTTTTTGTAAATGAAAATTTTTGAACTGTTTGTAATCGTCCCCCAGCTTTTGTAAATTTTGACTGCACCAGAAGATGGAAAAGAAAATTCCGAAACATATGTAGTGCTTGTGCTTAAACGATAGAAAATAAAAACATGACCGAATAAACCAAGGAAATTTTTATTTATATAAGATGATAAGTTATGGTTTATTAATTTTCAATCAATTCCAGCAAGACGTGAAGCATTTACAGTGAAATATGCCATCTAAATATTAATCATTTTTAAATTTAGAATTTACAAGTTTCAAAAAAAGGGGAAATTAAAAAATTCCTAAATAACGAACAAACCAAAGAAAATCAAGGAATATGCCAACAGGAATCTAACCTGCGGCATCTAGCCTACCGGCTAATGTTTTTTTTGGTCCAACCCTTTATGATGGATAATGAAAGATTATTTCGAATAAGAAAAATCAAACTTGGTAGATTTTCAACTTTTTTTTTTTTTAAATAAAAATTAAAAATTCTTAAGACTCGGGACACCTCCAAAGAACCTGTAAAAGCAGGTTTCGTTCTATTAATCTAGAACCGGGGAATGATGCCAGAAATTCACCTAGATCAACCCGTCACGAAGTCCAACAAAAAATAATTACAGAGGATATGACTTCCGGAGAGGCCGATCACCCACACCTTGCGACTTTCTAACAATAATCAGAAAGTAGTGCCTCGAGGAGGCCGTCTTCATGGTAACGCCGACATTCTTTCCAGCCAACCCTGTTTAGAACGACAATTCCAGTACTGTAAAAGGCTCGAATAACGAGAGGAGCTGGTTGAAGAAGTTAGTCTACAGGCGACCACTATTAGGCCAGACGACAACGAAGACGGAATCGCCCTTGAAAGCCTGAGAAAGACGATGACTTGAAGGTTGTCCAAGAATGGCTCAAAAATGGAGTGAGACCTACATGGAAAGAAATAGCAAAATATAGTGAAACTATTAAAGGATACTGGACTCACATGTCAGAAGTGTGCTGTAGGAGCTTCATAGCAGCCGTTCAGTAGAACATTTTGGTACTAAAAGGACGCATTCGGGAAAGATTTTATTGGGTCAATTGCCGCCCAGATGTAGAAGATTAATGTAAGAAATGTGATCTATGCAATGGCAGAAAAGGGCCCAAAACAGAAAGCCGAGGCAAAATGGCACAGTACCTTTCCGGAGAGCCTTTCGAACGAATCGCCATAGATATCTTCGGGCAACTTTCTTTAAAAGAGTGGAGAAACAAATAATTGATGGTTGTTATGAACTATTTTTCAAAGTGGCCCGAACTAGCGCCTTTTCCAATCAGGAAGCAACGAAAGTAGTAGAAGCATTTATGACGAACGTCATAGCGCGACATGGGGTCCCTCTGTAATTACATTTTGAGCAAGGACGAAACTTTGAATCCGAATTATTGCAAGAATTGGATTATTATGCATCAGAAAAAAACGTACTACGCCCCTCCACTCACAACCCGACGGAATGGTAGAAAGACGCCACAGAACCATATGCCAGTATCTTTCAATGTTCGTCTCTGAAAACCAAAAGGGCTGGAACACTTTAATTTCTCTATTTCTACTAGCCTACCGAAGTTTTGAACATGAATCGACTACTTATACGCTATCTATGATGATTACTGGAAAGGAGATGAAGCTTTCCCATGATCTTCTTAATGGAAGGCTGCCTCCGGGTAAAGAAGAGGGCGGTACACTTTCCTCGTACATACAGAACATAAGAGACAAATTAGGAAATGTCTACGGGTACGCTGTGTCACAGGGACACATTTTGAGAATGGCGACCCAGTATGGCTGTACAATCCGAAGCGCCGAAAAGGATTTTGTAAGAAACTGCAACGGAACTGGGAAGGCTCCTACACCGTCCCCAAGATAATCAACGACCTGATCTACCGCATTCAGGAAAGTAAACCCAAGGTAGTTCACATTAAGTCATTCTTGAATCTCAGGGAGTAGAAATTTTGAGGGAAGAATGAGACAAAAATAGAAATTTAATGCGTCGCAGATAAAAAAGAATGAGCGGTTTTATATTCCCTCGAATTCAAGAATAGCTACCCGTGGTCCAAATCCTCCCCGTTGGCTCCAACCAGGTCCCAGTAATCAACTTATTCGGGACGAATAATTAGAGAGGAGGGAGCAATGTTACCCAGCACCCTGCAGTAGCCTCCGGCTGTTATAGGAAACGTACGAATAAAAGAAAAAGTGCAATATCACTCATCACCAGGCTAGGGGATCTTTAATAGGGAAATGCTTACTCGTGTTGTAGTACTGTGCACCACCCATAGATGGCGCTACTTACACAAAGTTTGCTCGTTGCATTCGTCGAGCAGATTCAGAGTGTATTCAGAGCAGGTTCAGAGTAACGCAAGTGTACGCAAGTTGTTATTTAAAACTTTCAACAGCTAAAAAAACGCTATTAATGGCAATAATGGTAATGGTTGATTTGTTTTATTAGGTTAGTTTTTCGAAGATAATTTTTAAAGCTTTAAACATATATAATTATGGTGCGAATTCGTCCTTGTGCTGATCCACATTGTCAGGATAAAGTTAGTCGCAGGTAAGGAATACATTTACAATTTTATTTCTTTACAAGTAAAAACTTCTTTTTGTATTTTATTCTTAAATACTTTGCCAAATTTTAAGAGCATATATTATTACTTAAAAGTACCCAATTTGTGAAATAAATTTCCAAAATAATGCGGGTAACCTAATGTTTTCTAGGAAAAATTAAAAATCTTAACCTAACTTTTATCATTTTCTATACAATTTCAGTAACTAGATAAAATATGTGAATATTAAGAAGATTGAAATAAATAGTGTTATTAGTATTTTTTTAGAATTATACAATATGTAATGGATACTTTATAGTAGATACCTATATACAATTTTTTTTCCGAATTCAAAATTAGGTACTTTTCAAACATACCAATAATTGTATATTTTATATTGTGCGACTCTTATTATTTTTTGCTCCATATACTGTGACCTTACCTCACCTAGGTATCTTCACAATTTATTGATTCCAATTAATAAAAGTTGCATTCTTACTAAATTCAAATTCCTTCATTTTATTGAAAAATCTTCTGCGATATATTTTTAAGAAATGCCGATTCATTCTCACTAGCTAATAAATTAATAGCTCAGCTGAATTGACTCAAAACAAAAATAATAAAATTGAACTTTATATTTTTTAACTGATACTCTTCTTCATTTTTTACATGAAAACGAATCAGCAAACACTGCAATAGGAAGTGTCAAGTACACCCAACAGCAGCCAGAGCCAACTTTCCCCAGGAACTTTCGTTACAACTTCTAGTGGATACAACCATGGGTGAACTTCGTAATAGTTTTATATTCATATTTCTTTATTATTGTGTACTGTAATAAGAATTCGTGCAATTTTAATTCTAATAATAAAAAATATATGGTTATAATCGTGTTTTACTTCATAATAAGATGTATTTTTGTTCCATAAATCCAAAATTATAATTTTTCGTTTTCTTTTTAACTTAAAATATTTCAAATTTTATCTATCACAGAACATAAACCAATGGATTATATCCATCTAAGTATGTTGAGTGAAGAATAAAATGTTTGAATCATTTTAAGTAAAAAAGAACGAAAAATTATAATTTTGAAAACTTAGTAGTGGTTTATTAGAAAGGCCGAGTTTGAAAAACCCGCGCTCATTGACCCCTACCGCCATCTATATAATAAATCTTGAACAAATTTTCAATTATTAGTTATCTTCTTTTTTTTTAACTCAACTATTTGCAACCGCTACGGATGGCGCTGAAAGATGAGTAAAATTTTTCACTGTTGAGTGGCCCATCTTTAAAGGGTATGGTCTGTGCTCATCACCCTACAGTGTGCTGCGGTCGTCATTAGTAAAAGTATAAATAAAAGAAGAGAGAACAGTCTAGAAATGTCATTCCGTATCAATTAGGCATTCCAAACAAATGAATTACCAGTGGGCAGGTTTGGTATATCTAAGGGTGGCGACATATGGTGTATTCTATATACTTGACGTAAAATCATGAATAATGGATTACATTTAAATATTTTATGTCAAACACAATAAAAATAATATTTAAAAAGCCCACCTATACATTTCTTCATAAATTGGCAGGCTTGGCGAGTACTACTTCGAATAAAAATAGCGTTCAAGTTGCAAGACTATGTCGCTACCCCCTTAAATATACAAGAATTTCCCACTGGCACCTATTGTTTGACAGGTCGTTGGAATGCCTAATAAGCATCTGGATGGTTCGAGAAGGTTCAATAAGTCGATGATCCTGACGTCACAGATCAGTTTTATGATAGACGTTATACGTTAATGTTGATAGTTGTATAGTTGAATTGTAAAAGTTGAGTTGAAAATAAATTGAGTTACCAAAAACTAGTGTAACAATATTTATACTGAACACTTACTTATTGCAGGTTTCAGTCGCATTTTGACAGAAGTCCCACTCGTCGCTACCTGCCACGCAATCTCTCTGGCCATCGCAAAATTTCTTGATAGGTATACATTCTACACCTTCGCCGCACAGTGCTTCATTCCATTTACACTTCGCTTCCTTCGCGCAACGTTTCGGGTCTTCGTCAGAGATGTCTTTTCCGAATTCCTGGGAAACCCCGCAGTCTTTTTCTTCATCGCAAACCCATCCTGTAAAAATGGCAATAGTAAGTAAATATTTCCTATGACCACATACGAAAGTTACTTTATTTCGTACAAATAAGTAGGAAATAATAGAGGATAGTCAGAGGAGAAACTAAAATTGAGAGATATAGATTAGATTAGAAATTTTTTTTTATAGGTTTAAGAAATAATTATATACATATCACAGTTAAATAAAATAAATCGGAACTACCGAGGCTACAAGACTTTTCGTGCGGGTCCCACTGGACCATGGCGAACATGTTCGCCTGTTAGAGCTCTTTCACACGAGGATACTGTATGCGAGATACGCGTATCCGAGATACAGAATCGCAGCCGAAAAGTTGGGCTGCTGTATCGAATTCACGCATCTCTTCAATCAGTACTAAAATAGTAGCATTGCCGTGCATATATTTTTGAATTATGGATCTAGAAGAGTGTATTATACTGAAGTATATAATACAGTGACACACATAAAATGAGCATCGTATAAGATTTTTTTCTAAATGCTGTAGATGAATTTTGACTTTGCCATCTTCTGTTGCTTTAAAAATGATAACGAATGACATGCAAATTGACAATCACGTGATCTTTTTAAATGTCCAAAATAACATTTTTTGTCCACGACCACTTAATAATAAATCAATAATCTACCTCCTAACTAAAAGCATATAGTACCCATATATCACGGAGTGAGTTATGATAATTCACGCTTTTGTAATTCTGGCACATTCCGGTAGATAACTAAAGATAGGCGATACTTTTCATAACGATATTTTCTAGATCGAAAAATCTCAAAATCTATAAATCAAAAAATCGAAAAATCGAAAATCGAAAAATCGAAAAATTGAAAATTGGGAAAAACAACAGTTAGTTACCTATGTTTAATAAAAACTTTCCATTCTACACTTAACTTTTATTTAATAAAGAAACCATAATGGTCGTGGACAAAGTATAGTATTAGACTCGCAATTTATGGCCATTATTCACCCTGAATAATGGCTACCATAAATTGCTCGTTTAATAATATACTATTTTTCTAAAAATTGCAAAAAATGGTATTAATTTCATAAATTGCTTAATAAAAAGTTGCGTATTATGAAAATATTTACCCATATAGCCCGTTAATAGTTAACCTGACATAATTTTTAAAATGTTACTTTGTACTAAAATGTTTTAAATAATGTTTTCTCATACAGTTTAATCGATTAAACTAGATGCACTTGATACCCTTGAAAAATATCCTGCGCCTATGACATAATCTCCGTTGCAAAAGTATCTATGTCTGAAAAGGTCCATATCGTAATAGTAATTCGGTATGCGGCATACGCATTCAGCCTCCGCGGCTGGAGGTGCCGGGATGCAAAAATTCCGTATCGCGATACTGTATGCGTCGCCCGTACCGTGTGAAAGGGTCCATTTGAATGTATGTTCAGCCTGAATCTCGGATACGCGTATCTCGCATACAGTATCTTCGTGTGAAAGAGCTCTCACACGGTACGGGCGACGCATACAGTATCGCGATACAGAATTTCTGCATCCCGGCACCTCCAGCCGCGGATGCTGAATGCGTATGCCGCATACAGAATTACTATTAGAGCGCTTTCACACGAAGATACTGTATGCGAGATACGCGTATCCGATATTCAGGCTGACCATACATTCAAATGGACCTATTCACACGGTACGGGCGACGCATACAGTATCGCGATACGGAATTTCTGTATCCCAGCACTTTCAGCCGCGGACGCTGAATGCGTATGCCACATACAGAATTACTATTAAGATATATGGACCTTTTCAGACATGGATACTTTTGCAACGGAGATTATGTCATAGGCGCAGGATTTTTCAATGGTAGGTAGATATCCTGAGTACATTTAGTTTCATAGTTTAATTTATTTGAGAAAGGATTAAATTAGATGCACGAAGAATTTTGTTTTAAATTATTTCACGAATAAAAAATTAGCCTAAACTACATAATTTTTATATTCTTTACCGTCTTTTCTACGCATGTTGTATGCCCAGTATTTTAATACTAAAGTAATGTACTCTACAGATGCATTTGCGTCAAACTCGTACATTTTTCTTGGTAAAACAACATGTATTGGTTCCAAATTGTTTTATGAGTTTTGACTGTATTAATTGGAATATTATTTCATTATCTACTCTATCTATTGAAAATATAACAGGGATTACTTTTTCTTAATGTACAGAGTTACACATAAAGTGCGCATCGTATGGGATTTTTCTTTCTAAATGATGTAGATACATTTTGACTTTGCCATTTTTTGTTGCTTCAAAAATGTTAACCAATAACATGCAAATGGAAAATCACATGACCTTTGTAAATGTCAAAATTTACTTTTTTTGTAAAAAATGCAAAAAACCTATGCCTAAAAGTTACTTATGTTTTACCCATATACCAATTTTCAACTTTTTTTATTTTTTCCACAAATTCATTTTAAAGTTACTAGAAGTAACGCTAACCTGCATAAATTAATCTGTTTACGCGATGCGCTTCTTTTAAATGTTTTTTTGTTAAAAAATATTTTATACAACTTGCCTAAATTCCAGTAACCCAAAACTGAATTGGTAGAAAATAAAAACTTGACACGGGCTATATGGGTAAATAATTAAAAAATAAGCAACTTTTTGTTGAGCAATTTTTCGAAATTGCCATTTTTGCAATTTTTAAGAAAAAATGTAATTTCAGACATTTAAAAAGGTCACGTGTTTGTCCATTTGCATGTCATTCGTTATCATTTTTAAGGCAATAGAAGAGCAAAGTCAAAATTCATCTACAACATTTACAAAAATGCCTATACGATGTGCATTTTATGTGAGTCACTGTATTATATACCTCAGTATAATACACTCTTCTAGATCCATAATTCAAACCTATGCACGCCACTGTGACTATTTTAGTACTGATTGAAGAGATGCGTGAATTCGATACAGCAGCTCAAGTTTTCGACTGCGATTCTGTATCTCGGATACGCGTATCTGGCATACAGTATCTTCGTGTGAAAGAGCTCTTACGATATATGGACCTTTTCAGACATGGATACTTTTGCAACGGAGATTATATCATAAGCGCAGGATTTTTCAATAGTAGGTAACCTGATCGATTAAATTGTATGAGAAAACAAAATTTTAAAAATTATGTTTAACGATCAAATTAGATGCACGAAGAGTTTTTTTTTTATTTTTTCGCGAATAAAAAATTAGCCTAAACTACAAAATTTTAATTTTTTACCGTCTTCTCTACGCGTGTTGTATGTCCTGTCTTTTATTATTAAAGTAATGTACTCTCCAGATGCCTTTGCGTCCAAACTCGTACATTTTTCTTGAATACACAACATGAATTGGTTCCAAATTGATTTATGAGTTTTGACTTTATTAATTGGAATATTAATATTATCTATCTATTATCTACACTATCCGTCGAAAAACCTCCAACCCTGTGTGTTTTGCACATTTTTATTTTTCAAATAAAATTAAAGTTGACAGATGTAAAACACTCAGGTTTGTTTAAATTTTCGGTCTACTAGAATATTGAACGCTTTTTGTAAATAAATTTATTATAAACGTCAGAACTAAATAATTTTTAAAAGAAATTCTGATTAATTTGTTATACTTTTATTTATTTATTTATTACTAAGCGCCATAAAGTAGTGATGGAAAATATAGTTTTAGACACCGAAAAATTTATTAGTTTGGTGTAGATTAATCCCTGTTTATGGGATCCAGGACATGCAGATAACTTTTTCTTAATATACAATGTCACAAATAAACTGCGCGTCATATGGAATGTTTTTCTAAATGATGTAGATATATTTTTACTTTGCCATCATTTGTTGCGTTAAATGATAATGAATGATATACCACAATATAATACACTCTTCTAGATCCATAATTTAAAAATCTACGCACGGCACTGCGACTATTTTAGTACTGATTGAAGAGATACGTGAATTCGATACAGCAGCCCAAGTTTTTGACTGCGATTCTGTATCTCGGATACGTGTATCTGGCATACAGTATCTTCGTGTGAAAGAGGGCTAGGGTCATTTTTTGTTTATCCGAAATCAGTTACGTAAAACTATTGCCATGGTAACAAGTAAACAAAAACCCAAATCTCGTAGTGAGGAAATGCATAGTTGCCAAGTTATAGATCATTTAATGTTCACTTTAGTTTAGACGAAATCAGTTATGGTAAGGTTATGGTGAAACTGTTGCCATGGGAACGCTTGACATAGTGACGACTATCTCTAGTCTTCATAGTGACGACTAAACACAAAGACCAAATCTCGTGGTGAGGAAATGCGTGATTGTTAAGTTACATATGATTATGGAGACACCCAAATGCCGTAGTAAGAAAATGCAATAGTTGGCAAGGTACAGGTCATTTATTTTCACTTTACCCAGACAGCACAAATTGGTCCATGGATGTGCATTCCATATACAATTTTGAATGTCTGGACGTCCAAAAAATAGATTTTTCCGGATTTCCGACTTCCAATGGACGTCAAGTGAAGTATACAAATGTCACACTTTCGACCATTCAGTGGACGTCCAATTCTGGATATTTGGACGTTGAATACAGGACATACCTGGATTATTGTTCCATTGAAACCACATCCCCATCCCCATTTTTTTTTACACAACCGCTACTCTGCCCTGCTTAGCTAAAACGTCAAATCTGACAAAATTTCAGTTTGTGAGTTAAAGGCATATTTGTGATGCAGACATGCATCTACAATGTTTTTCTACGCAAAAAGGTCCTAACTACAATGTAAAGCACTAGTTTCGTCCTAATATTTACAGTGGACATATGAAAACATGATCATTAATATCTCAAAACTTTCCTCATGTCAGATAGGACGTTTTAGGTGAGCATGGCAGCGCTCATCGCACCATATCTGCGGACGCAGCAAATATCATTGCCGGGCTAACACCTATTCAGCTTATGGTAAAAGAACGTCCACTGGACGTCAAAATACTAA